TGTATCTTATCTTTCAAATGGCCTTCGAATTACCTGAATTGGAGTTGTGTGTGCTGAGATATGAGTGAATGAATCAGGACTGCTAGTTGAATTTCACAGTGAGTTTCGAACTGGAAAATCTGGAGTTGTTTTGGTAAATTTGACCTAGTTAGGGTGAGAACTGGACTGAGTGGTTTTCATGAAAGTTGTAGGTCCTTGTCTTTGCTTCGAAATGGTATAAATTTCATTCCAATCCGATAAGGGTAGCTTCACTTATGGATATTTTACCAAAAGGTGTTAAACGGAACTTTTATACGTTAACTGCGATCGTTGCGGAAAAGTTACGCTTGAGGGAATAAATTCCGGTTTCTAGGGTTTAATTGGGGGTTTTTCTAATGGTGGCTCTTAAGCTTCTAATTAGCTTTTATTGAGGGATATTGTGGTCTAATTGGATATATTTTATTGCTTATTAACCGTATGTGTGATTGGTAATATATTGTAGGTTGGAAATGAAGCATTTATGGGGAAATGCTGTCCGAACTTTGAGCATGTATGATTGATTTGAATTTGTGATTTAGGGCTTGGACTCAGGCAAGGTAATGATATATGATGGATGGTTTCTGAGTCGTGAAGGTGAGTGACCTTAAACTATTTCCAAAGTACTTGTGAAATGTTTCTTGCATTATTTACTCGATTGCATATCATGCGTGCTTGCATGTGGGTTCATGACATGATTTGGCTTCAAGGAGTTCTTGGGGAGTCTTGTGCTGAACACCAACGTCTCCACCCTGTTTGTTGTTCATGACATGATCTGGAGCACCAACGTTGCTCCCCCTTATTGTTTAACGTTAAGTGATCTATTTGAGCGTTGGGTGTTTAAGTGCAATGATTTCACTGGCTCACGAGAGCAAAAATACGTATATTTGATCTTGGAATCATGACATCATCGAAATGCATTATTGTGAAATATATTTGATTACTGATTTTATTGGTTACTCACTGAGCTTCTAGCTCACCCCAAAAATATTTTATTCCCCTCCACAGGACTCGTGGCGAAGGAAGGCTTGTAGTACTTATTCACGTGACTGGATGGCATATATCTTGTACCGTTTGGATTTGGAATTATTTTATGTTTAGTTGGGAATTAGTTTCCGCTGCGGATGTGATATGTAATTCTTGGGGAATTTGATGTAAGTTTGAGATATATCTTGTAATTTAATTGAGGAGTTTAGTGAACGACTGAGTCCTGGCGAGAGTTGGGCAGGCGAATGGTACGCCTTAGGGGGAGGTACATTGTTTATCTCTTCCACTTGGTTTATTTTCGATCCTTACAGACAATCTTATTAATATTGAAAAAAAAAAAAGAAAGGTGGGAAGGGGGAGGGAGAAGGGGAGCGAAAGAGAAATAGCTCAATTCTTTTTATAAAAAAAATAAGAAAGAATTAAATACTTTTATTATTTAAAAATTATTCGACTTTTTTGTTTACCGCCAAATTTCAATCCTATTAGCAACAACCTTAAAGTAATACGATAATGTTAGACTCTTCTTTATTTTCTTTTTTTGCAAAATCTAATTTTCTGTCTCCTTCTTTCCTATCTCATTTTCTTTTCCTAGTATTAATAAGTGTGAAAAAAGAAATTTGAGAAAATCTTTTTATTTTTATATTTTTTGATCTCTTAAGGTGAAAAAAAATAATAACCATTCTAACTTTTTTATTTTTAATTATATATAAAAAAGGGTAAATATATTTAAAAAAATTTTGACGATACTAATTAGATTAACGATGAGATAAATGCCTACAAAATAATGTTAGAAATTAAAGTGATTGTATCTCTATAATTTCAAGGAATAAAGTGATAACAATAATGAATAAAGGAGTGTTTTTGTCCAAAATTTCTTAATATGTTGGGTTGAATTACTTATAGGGGTGAAATGACTAAAAGATAATATTAGGAAGTAAACTAATCGTAGTGATATAGTTTAAAGAGGTAAAGTGATAATAACCCTGAATGAAATCTATAGTAGGAACAAAGAGAAAGAATCATGTTCTAACCCAAAACACGAATCAAAGATTCGAGGACAACTAGAAAAAACTCTCAAAATTGGAATAATCAATCAAAGTTTCATTACTAATTGATAAAGAATTAATAATTAAATAGACTCTAGATATTCCTATTTATAGGCTAGAAGTACTAGTCTAGCAAGTTAGATAGCTAAGAAACTTCTACACATCTAATTAGAATAAAAAACGAAATAATAAAAAAATAGGAAAAAAACTCAAAATAGAAAACTGCTATTTGACGATGTTCAGTGCCGGCCATTAGGCAGGATGTCTTCTGATGTGAAGTCTGGCGCCGGTGATGAAGCCGTTTATAGTGCCAGACTTCTGAAGTCTTGTCGCGGTGCTTTCTTCTTCTTCCCCTTTTCATACTCTCTCGTCGCCAACAATAATCTATATCTATATAAATTTGAGAAGGGATTTTTAGCAACAAACCTTCACAAACCTTCCCACTCTCAACTCTATTTTTCTCGCATTCTACATTTAATTTATTTCGTAAAAAACATCATGGGCACATTACACCCCCACGTTTCCCTCAAACAAGAAGTTAACTCCAACTAACACTCCTTACACACCTTACTCCAATTAACACTCCTCACACACCTTCCCACTACAATTAAAACTCTTCCAATCCAGAATTTCACTTACATTGAAACTCTTCAAATTCCATCATAAGATTGCGCAAGTTCTCTTTCCACTCCATGTTGTTATCCTTATTAGCCCTCAAATTAAATTTCACTCCACACACACCTTCCCACTACAATTAAAACCCTTCCAATCAAGAATTTGTGAATTTGCCAATGCCATATATTGCCGTTTCTACTCTTCTGATGCCATAACCAATTCCCACTACCAATTCCATTTTTCTAGCATTTCACATTTAATTTAATTTATAAAATATATTCCTCTCAACTTTTACATCTACTATTCACATTTGAAATTTTTGATTACTTTTTAAAATCATTTCATTTCAAATTGTTGGTTAATGTGCATGTTATCCTATTTGAACTTCAACCCATCACGTTTCTGATTGCCTTGCGTTATTTATGATTCTACAACAATTAAAACTTCTATAAGACCATAAGAAGAGATAACAAATATAACATCCTTTCATGCTTTCTTATTAATTTAAATAAGTAAGATTATTTACACTCCATTTTTGTTATTCATACTTCAATAATCATTTTGATCATATAATTTTCATTAATTAGACTATATGATAAAACAAATGGTGGAATTGTAAATAATAAAAAATTGAGTGCAAATAACATTTTCTTAAGTAAGAAGTGGCCCCCATACCTTTCTAATTTAAAAAAATAGTGGCTCCGCTTATATAGGAATTTGGTTTGAAGTTTATTAGTGGGAGGGTAAATAAAAAGAAAATATTGCCAAACTTAGTAAAAGTAAAAAAGTAACTGATAATATTTTATCTTTAAGCTTAGTAATCCTAAATAAAAGGGCAAAATTAAATAGAAAACAAAAAGAAAATAATGTCATGGATTTAAAAAAATCAAGAATGGTACCATTCATGAAATCCAAATTATGAAATCACTAAATAAAAAACAAAGTACTACTAGCCTTTTAACGTGGAAATTTTTTTTTGAAATATTCATTTTTGATAAGAAAAATAATGATAATAACAACACCAATTCTACTACAAATTTTTAAAAAAGTAATATTATAGTTTAAGAGAAAGATATAGAACATTTAACCCTAAAATACTACTTAATTTGTATATATCTGGCCCAAATTTGACATTAGAATTGAATAAGAGTGCAAAACCCAAACACTAAGGATAACTTTTGGTATCATTAATTATTTTCTGTATTCTTATTGCTGTCTTCATATGTAAATATGTATTTGCTATGTTAAATATATATATATATTGATTGTAGTACTTGAGGATATTATAGATATTATCAGTTTTTCATTTCCACTTTTAGATACTAATAATTGCAACCATTGTAATTAATTTTCAATTTTATATTTTTATTATGATAGATAAAGTTAAATATATTGGGTCGCAAGGATATGAATTTAGAGGTTAGGTATAAAGGGAGGCGGGAGGGAAGAAAATGGTGAGGTGTTGAAAGTAGCAGGAAAGATTGAAGAAGAAACATGAGTTACAAGGATGGGCGGAGAAGGTAGAGAAGAAGAAAGGGGCTTACAGGGATATGACAGAAATGACAAAAAAATAATAATAATAGAGAGGGTGGTACCATGATAGAAGATATGAAAGTCGTAGGAGGCATCTGATGACTAGCTGACATATAAGAGAAGAGGAAAATGATGATGATTTTTAATAGTTTTGAAAACTCTAACAACACATATTATGGAGAATTTTTTTAAAAATATACGTTAAAATTTATGAAAAATGCTAGTCTAAATGCAATCAACAATTTTAGGGGCACAAGATAGGAGAAAGATTTTTTTTCTAAAAATGGAAGAAAATAAATTGGTTGTAATTTATTTTTTTATATTATAAGTTTTGATATATGGGTATAATATAATATGTTTTGTCGGATATTGATAAATTGACTTTTTTTTAGAAAACTCTTTTCACCTTACTACTCAACCTAACCCTCTCCTTAAATGCGTTAACAATTCTTTTATCATGTAAATCATTATAGATTAATTTTTTTTAAATATTAAGCATACACTTCTTTAAAATTTTTAGTCCATATATATATATTATTTTGTACGACAATATATAAATATATAAAATATTATTTTGATTTGAAATATAACCCCGTGCATAGCACGGATCAAAATACTAGTTATAATAATTCTACTAAAACTAAATGAAAATAACAATAAAACCATAAAATCTACCCTAATTTTGACTCTAAATAATTTGTTAAGATGGGGACGCTGCATCCGGAGCAACTCATTCCACATCATTCCCCTACTAGAAAAAAAATAAATAACTTGATTAAACCAGATGGGCTGCATTTTTGTGGTCTAAGTATTCGACAGTTTTGATTGGAGGACATCCTCTTCATGGGCTGTGTCACCATGATGTTGAATGACAAGAGTGGAAGACACTATCCCTTGGTCTGATGAGGCTAATAAATCCCCGATGGGTCCTAATTCCACATGCTTTGGCTGCCGCTCAACCAGCTCCGCAAGCCCAGTTGGAGGGCAACACCTCCTTTTTCGCACCACAATTAGCTCAAAATCTCCACTCCTTCCTATTCTCAGCACCTCCTCCACAGTGTTGCTCATCGCCTTCTCTTTGTAGTCCGCCATGCCTTTCCACAGACTTCGGAACACTGCCACAGCCTCCTCGTCCAAATCCTAAGCATTTCATAAGAAAAATCATTTACTATACCCAAAAACATAAAAGAAACTATGCGACTGTGTGTAATTAAATAGATAAGATTGAAAACTCAATCTTCCATTATTTTTCTCTCTATCTTTGGTTTAAGCATTCCTATGGCTCTGAATTATCGTTAATCAAGCTAGCAATATTTTCTCACGTTGTCTAACAACTGTTTCATAAATTAAAATCATGTCATTTAACTAGATTTTAATACTATTTGTGTTTTAGTTATAGTATTTTTTAGGTTTTGTGAGATTGAATTACATAGTAATCAATCTTTCGTACTGGTGATGTGTACAGTTGTGACTCTTGATGCACGAGACATGTCCAAAATATGAATTTAAATTCTAAATTTTGTACATGAAATGTACATCCAGGCCCGTATAACACTGTCAATGTGAGAAAGTTTTATCTTTATTATCTCACACAGAAAACAATTACTGGAGCTGCAACTAATAGTGTGATATGATGAGAGATATGTCTAAGTACCTTTTGTTAGATCCTTATTCCAACGTTGGATTTATATGTGAATAATTATGTAGTGCAAACTGTCAAATAAGGTTAAATCCAATTAAAATGATCAAATATGGTTTGGACTTAATGTATCTAATAGGATATGGGTCTTTAATGTGTAGAGACTTAAGGGCTCCTATTTCTATGATGGGCTGAAATTGGGTTCCAAAGGATAACAGGAATGTTACTTATAAATAGGGTTATGGTCCCCAGGTCACACATATCATTCTATTTGTCGTATTTTCTAATACCACAAAAATAACTCTTCCCTAATATCCCATCGTCAGGAAAGATACCAGAGAGAAACTAAAGGGATCTCTCAAGGATTGATAATTACGTGTTGACCTGGAAGGTCACCCCAATATCTTTGGATATTCAAAATATCAGTTTGTCGATATGAACCCAGGTTCGCTTCCGCTATTTTACTGTTAATTTGTTTCTTAATAATCGCCATATAGATTTTGGGTTTAATAGATGATAGTTTTCATCAAAGGTTTAATTTAGGCAACCACCCTATCAAGTGGTATCAGAGCTAAATATGATTGATTATTGAGAAATAATTTGGATTCAATAATTTATATATATATATTATTATGTCTCACGAATTGGGTTTTGGTTATATGGTTGTCGGCTAAACAAGAAAGCTCTTGGTTATATGTTTCGGTTTCATGTTTCGCCGTTCATGATTTACTATTCTTTTGTTACATATGAATCTGTGGATCCCACCATGATGGACAAGTCTTTATAAAGCTTTCATATCTATGATTGTTTGCATAAGGCATGTTACGGGTACCATTCTGTTATTGCACAAGTCATTGTAGGACCCATATGATTTATATGTTAAAGGCACTACTCTTATTTACCTGATGACCAGTGGATTGTCTCGCTTACCGTGGGTTCCTTTTTTAAGCAATTTGATTATACAGCTCTCGTGACTTGTGTTCTTGTTTGAGAAACAATATGTTATATTTATGTTAAGGATATTAGAGTTTCTTTAATTTAAGTGAACTCTAATAAAGTTAATAAGACATTTAAGTCCTATAAAGTTCATATATTAGGCCCACTAAATATAAATTTTTATAAAGTAATTATGGATTTCAAGAAAATTTGGGACTTAAATAATAAAATTGGTTCAATTATGGATATGGACTTTTAGTCCAATAAGTCTTGATCCAATTGACTGGTTTGACTAGATTTAAATGGTTTGATCATGTTTGACCACGTTTTGACCAGAGTTGACTTTGATCAAAATTTTTGTTTAATTTGTGTAATTTTAAATTTGAATATTGGTATGATTATATATTTTTTAGAATAAATTAATTGAAACAATATGCCACCAAAGTGATCTATATTGTGAAAATTAATTTATTTTAAAATATAACTAGTTGGGTACTTGTGATTTTATGAATATTGATCGGCCCAAAGGAAGGTCAATATTTAATAAGATTACATGTGCACTTGTGGTAATAAACATGTGATAATTATTCGACTTTTACATGTGAATTATAAATTGGCCCAAAAGAAAATTTATTTTTGACATGTTATTATTGTCAGTGTTTATTACTGTGCCAAGATATTACTTAGAAGTTAATATTTTGTCCAAAGATAAAATATTAATGGAATATTGGTATCTTGAAATGGGGCTACTATTATTTGAATTTATTATTATTTGGTTTATGTGAGCATAGTTTTAATTATTTTATGTTTTTTCTGTTCAGTTGCAAATGATCTTACAAATATTACTATCAAAATCAATAATATTCCTATGTTGAATGGTACAAACTTCAAGTTCTTGAAAGAAAATCTCTTGATAGTACTTGGAGTAATGGATCTCGACCTTACGTTAAGGGATGATTCTCCCCCACCTCTTATAGATCAGAGTACCTCTGATGAAAAGAGGGATAAGGAAATGTGGGAGAGATCAAATCGCTTGTGTCTAATGATCATTAAAAAGGCCATTCTAGAAGCATTCAGAAGAACAATGTCAGAAACAAAAGTAACCGCTAAAGAGTTCTTTCAGGAAATTGAAAAAAGATTTGTCAAGAACGAAAATACTGAAATTAGTACGCTCTTGACACGCTTAGTTTCAATGAAATATAGTGGTAAAAGCAATATCAGAGAGTATATTATGGAAATGTCTCATCTTGTTTCAGAATTAAATGCACTTAAATTGACACTCTCTGAAGAGTTACTAGTGCATTTGATTTTAATATCTCTTCCTATACAATTTAACCAGTTTAAGGTGAGTTACAATTGTCAAAAGGAGATTTGGTTTCTAAATGAACTCATCTCACACTGTGTAGAGGAAGAGAAAAGGTTGAAGCAAGATCAGACAGAAAGTGTTCATCTGGTGTCAACCACTAATAATAAAAGCAAGGGACTTAAGAGAAAGAAAGAAAAAGAAGCTGCAGGTACAGCACCATAAAAGAAACAATAAAAGAAATCAGATGATCAGGGATAGAATAATTGTTTCTTCTGTGGAGTTGAAGGGCATAAAAAGAAACATTGTACCAACTATCACGCTTGGCGTGCTAAAAAAGGTATGCTTCTTAATTTGATTTATTCTGAGATTAATTTAACTTCGGTACCTAGACACAAATGGTGGTTAGATTCTGGTGCAACAACTCACATCAGTATGTCTATGCAGGGTTGCTTGAATTGCCGAAAGCCTAATGATAATTAAATATATATCTACGTGGGCAATGGCAAAACAGTTCAAGTTGAGGCAATAGGGATTTTTTAGATTATTGTTAAAAATCGGATTTTATATGGATCTTAATGAAACATTTGTTGTACCGTCTTTTCGACAGAATTTAATTTCTATTTCTGCTTTGGACAAATTTGATTATTTTTATTCATTTGAAAATGAAAATTTTGAATTGTTTCATGATTCAAAATTGGTTGGTTCTGGTTCTTTAATGCACTACGATAATCTATATTTAATTGATACAATTGTCTCATTTAATGAATTTCAACATCTGAGTACTAGGGAAGTAAAGAGAAAATTAACCAATGAGAATTCAACTGCATTATGGCACAAGAGATTGGAACATATCTCCAAATGGAGAATGGAAAGACTCGTGCCAAATGAAATTCTTGATCCTTTAAATTTTACAGATTTTGATGATTGTGTCAACTATATAAAGGGAAAACAAATCAATAGAAGGAGATTTGAAACCAATAGGTCCTCAGACGTTTTAGAATTTATACATACAGATATTTGTGGACCATTTCCTACATCTGCTTGGAATAGTCAACAATATTTTACAACGTTCATGGACGATTTTTCAAGATATGGCTACATATATTTTATTTCAGAAAAGTCACAGTCACTGGACGTGTTCAAAAATTTTAAGGCTGAAATTGAGAATCAATTCAACAAAAGAATTAAAAGTGTCAGATCTGACCATGGTGGTGAATATTATGGTAGATATGACGGTTCAGGTGAACAACGTCCAGGACCATTTGCTAAATATTTAGAGGAATGCGGTATCATCCCACAATATACTATGCCGGGTTCACCCACTATGAATGGTGTAACTGAAAGACGAAATAGTACGCTTGAAGATATGGCAAGGAGTATGATATGGCATTCTACTTTACTAGAGTCACTCTGGGGAGAAGCACTTAAGACTGCAGCATATATTCTTAACAGAGTTCCAACTAAAGCAACTATCAAAACCCCTTATGGGATTTGGACAGGAAAAAAGCCCAGTTTAAAGCATCTGCATGTTTGGGGATGTCCAGTTGAGGCGAGACCTTATAGGCCAAATGAAAAGAAATTGAATTAAAAAATAGTTAGTTGTTATTTTATTGGATACTCTGAAAGATCCAGAAGTTACAAGTTATATGATCCCACAACTAAATCGATTTTTGAGACAGGAAATGCCTGATTCTTTGAGGATGTAGAGTTTGGGGGGAAAATACAGTAAGAGACATTGTCTTTAAAGAGAAATATATTAATATTCTCACGTGTCATTGATCTTGCTCAAGATCCTATTCCTGAAATTGATCATGACATGACAAATCAAGACAATTTCGAAGAACAAACTGTTATAGAAGAACAAACTCTTTTTCTCCAAGAACTAGTGCCATTAAGAAGATCCACTAGAGAAAGGAGAAGTGTAATTCCAGTTGATTACATTATTTTTCTTCAAGAACATTAAGATGACTCTGGATTGATGGAAGATGATCCAATCAACTTCCGTCAAGCCATGAAAAGTTTAAATTCTCAAAAGTGGATCGATGCCATGAATGAGGAGATTAAATCCATGAAAAATAATGATATTTGGGATCTTGTCCCATTGCCAAAAGAAGTGAAATTCATTGGTTGTAAATGCATATTTAAAATCAAAAGAGATTCGAAAGGCAATGTGGAAAGATACAAACCTCGTCTTGTAGCCAAGGAATTTACACAAAAAGAAGGTATCGACTATAAAGAAACCTTCTCTCCAGTCTCTTCAAAGGACTCTTTTAGAATTATCATGACATTAGTGGCGCATTTCGATTTTAAGTTACATCATATGGATGTAAAGACAGCGTTTCTCAGTGGTAACATTGATGAAACGATTTATATGGTCAATGAAAAGATTTATATGGTGCAACCAGAAAACTTTGTATCAGAAGATCCAAAAAATATGGTTTGCAAACTTAAATAATCCATCTATGGGTTCAAACAAGCGTCTCGACAATGGTATTTCAAATTTCATCAAGCGATCATTTCATTTGGTTTTGAGATAAATTTAGTAGATGATTATATATACCATAAGTTTTGTGGGAGCAAGTATATTTTTCTGGTATTGTACGTTGATGACATTTTGCTTGTCAGTAACGATATGCGTCTATTGCATGAAACCAAGATATTTCTAACTAAAAATTTTGAGATGAAAGATCTTGGTGATGCATCTATTGTGTTAGGCATACAGATACACCGGAATCGCTCTCGGGATATTTTAGAACTATCACAAAAGGGTTATATCGAAAAGATTCTTAAAAGGTATGGCATACAAAATTGTAAATTAGGTGACACCCCGGTGATTAAAGGAGACAAATTTAGTCTTGAGCAATGTCCTAAGAATGCTTTTGAGAAAAAAGAGATGCAAAAGATTCCTTATGCATCAACAGTAGGGAGTCTAATATATGCTCAAGTATGCAGGCGTCCGGATATTGCGTACATTACTGGAATGTTCGGTAAATATTTAAGTAATCCTAGATTAGATCATTGGAAAGCAACCAAACGGGTCTTACGGTATTTACAGAAAATAAAAAATTGCATGCTCACGTATCGGAAGTCAGATGAGTTAGAGATCCTTGAGTATACTAATTTCGATTATGCTGGATGTCAAAATACTATGAAGTCAACGTCAGTCTATATCTACTTATTGGCTGGAGGTGCCATATCCTGGAAGAGTGCTAAACAGTCCCTCATAACATCTTCTACTATGGTTGTAGAGTTTATAATTTGTTATGAGGCGTCCAATCAAGAAATTTGACTGCGAAATTTCGTCACAAGATTACGTGTAGTGGATAGTATTGAAAGACCAATTAAATTATTTTGTGACAATAAGTCAGCAGTCCTATATTCCAATAATAACAGGAACTTGACAAAATTTAACCACATAGATATCAAGTTCCTGACTATTAAAAAAAAAAGTACAGAGTGGACAGTTATTGATAGAGTATATTGGGACAAATTCCATGATTGCGAATCCGCTTACTAAGGGATTACCACCCAAAATATTTCATGAGCATACTGCTCGTATGGGTGTCATGTTATTAAACGATGTACAGTTTTAGTGGGAGTGTGTTATTTTAGATGCTCTTATGATACCTTTCGGTTATTAATGATTTAAGGATAATTTATGCATAAATAAAGTTTGAATTTATTTTACACTCTAATTCTGGTATGATTTGATCTCATGAAAATTTAAAATGGACCAGTTGGAAATATGCATGTTATGATCAAATTACATGAAATTTTCATACTACACATCCACATCATGATTCATGTCGTTTAATTATATCAATATATGTGACCATTGATGGGTCGAGTTACGAAATTGTAACAAAGGCCGCTTTGATCTTATGTTGGTATGATTGATGGACCGAATTGGTTACAGATACATTGTAGTAATGACAGTAAAGTTGAACTCATACAGTTAATTGCAAAATATAAGTATAAAGTTACACATATACTCCAAGTGGGAGATTGTTGAATCCTTAATCCAATGTTGGATTTATTTGTGAATAATTATATAGTGCAAATTGTCAAATAAGGTTAAGTCCAATTAAAGTGATCAAATATGGTTTGGATTTAATGTATCTAATAGGATATGGGTCTTTAATGTGTAGAGACTTAAGAGCTCCTATTTCTATGATGGACTGAAATTAGGTTCCAAAGGATAACAGGAATGTTACCTATAAATAGGGTTATGGTCCTTAAATCACACGTATCATTCTATTTGTCGTATTTTCTAGTACCACAAAAATAGCTCTTCCCTGACATCCCATCGTCAGGAAAGATACCAGAGAAAAACTAAAGGGCTCTCTCAAGGATTGACAATTACGTGTTGATTTGGAAGGTCACCCCAATATCTTTGGATATTCAAAATATCAGTTTGTCGATATGAATCCGAGTACGCTTCCGCTATTTTACTGTTAATTTGTTTCTTAATAATTGCCATATAGATTTTGGGTTTAATAGGTGATAATTTCATCAAAGGTTTAATTTAGGCAACCACCCTATCACCTTTTCCTTCACCTTCTTTGCTGTTATTGTAGTTTGATCAATTCTGCCATCTCTAGGGATGACAAATATAAGAACTATGACTTTAACAACAGGATTTTCCGCCATCCGTGCCCCTAACTCTAAAGCCTCTCTATCATCAGCCCCACCGAAGAAGAGAATACAAACTCATTTTCTAGCTGAGGAGGCGGGTGGCAGAGACTTCAACGACTCGCTACCGAATCCCCAGTCCATGAGCATAGCAACAGAACAAGGTGCCTCCCTGAGCACCCTCTGGTGAACCCCTCTCCAACAATGTCCAAGTACATTTTGCACTAATTCTTCGTATTGATCATGATCATTCTCAGGATCTTCGGTTACTGTTTTCCTCCACCACTTGTGGAAAGGGACCATGATCATTGCTACCTTCTTATCCTCAGCCACATGACAAATATCCCCATGCATAGTCGGCAATGCAGACACTGCAGTTGTCGGTCTAACACTGATTTTGCCCAGTTGGCCATAGGCTTGGAATGCCACCGCCACCCCGTCTGACATTGAATTAGTGTGCCAGAGACGGTTGATGAATGGAAAGCCACTCTTTTGCAGCCGCTGCACCAGGACAATTGATGAGGATCGTTCAGTCAGCTCCACCAAGTGCATCACGTAAAGCTTGAGACGGGAGTTAACATTGGTGGGACGGATGAACTCCATGAGGCTGATGAGGGAAGGAACATTAGTAGGGCCGTGGACACAGGCCAGGATTCGAAGCTCCTCCTCGTTGTCATTGACACTTTTCGCAGAAACTGACTGTAGCTTACGGTGAGATAGAAATGTTTTAAAAGCCGTTCGCGAGGTAAGCCCGGGGCGGGGCATTCCAATACTGCCCTTGGCGATCGCACAAGGTGAAAATGTTCTGGGGCATGCGCCCAAGAGATCAAAGTGTACGTCCAGACATTTGGGCGCGCCTCTGAAGTGGGGCATTAAAAGCGTATGCTCCACAAATTGTTTTAAACAAAAGATTTAACTTCATTAATTAAGTTTTTAACTTTTTAATATTAAACTTTATTATTAATTTATTATCTATTATATTGAGACATTGAGTGAATTTGATATGAATCTATTTGAAATACATTATATGGTTAGGCAAGAAAGGTAAATGAAAAGAGATTGTTACCTATAGATTGGATCTTTTTGATGTGATGGAACTTCCAGAATCACCATCAACTATTGAAAGAAAATGACCTAGTGTATATACACTAGATGAAGATGATGACATGAATGATATTGACTTTAATGAATAGTATCATTTTATTTGTCAGTTTGTTTCTAATTATTGGTGGTATTCCTTGTTATGTATTATAAGTAATATTGTTGCTAATTTGATATTTTATTTTTTATATTAGTTAAGTGTGTTTATTGAAACAATTAACCTTTGAAATTTGTGTCTACTTGAATTTATGTATTTGTAATTTAAGTGCTTGATAATGTGACGACTTCTGAGTTGTGACTAATTTGTTTCTAAGATTGAACTTTCTGTATTAATAATTATTCTGCTTTTTTTGTGCAGCTAATATTAATATGTGTGTTTATTAAATTATTAGTTAGAGTTATACAATAATAATTCTTTATTTGTATAAATTTTCTTAAATTGATCTAATTTTATTATATTTATTTATATCTTCAAATGACTCTTTTATAATATATATCATATTTATATATTTTTGTTTAAAAAAATTCACGGGGCTTATGCATCCCGCCACGGGGCGCCTTTTAAAACATTGGAGAGAACAAAACCGCCACTCCTGGCCGGTTAATGTAGATGACCATCACTGTTGGAGTTGTTATGAGCGTTGTAAAGGGTGCCATCAGGACTAATATTGCAAACGCCTCATCGTTGAGGACGTGGCACCGGAGAATAGAGATTAGATTAATCCTTGTCTAAATTTCATATATGCCACAGCATAGCCTAATAGTCAATACTCATTTGTGATATCTCATGTCCGAACATACAATTTTATAAATAATTGCATAGTGCAAATGATGGTTTTAATGCATTTGATTTGAATTTAGATGAATGAGATTAATCGTGGGATACAGCTTTTCATTATTCACATTTGTTATTTAAGTGTTTATATCTATTTTAGGGTATGTTTGATAACATAAAAAAGTATTGAAACTGAATCCTTTTAGACATTCAGATGTTTTGAGTGTTTGATAAATGAAAATCTATCTGCTGAACTTTTGTGTATTTTTTTCAGCACAAGAATCCTAACTGAATGCTTAATTCTGATAAAATCAATAGAATTACTTCAACTATCTTATCTTATCTACCAAATCTACCCTTATTTGTTAATTATATTCAAAATTCTTATCTAATTAAACAACTTAATATTTTCTATCTAACGGTTTTCTGTTTCTCTTTTCTCCCTTTTTAATGACTTTCACTTATTCTCTATACTTCTCATATAATATATTTCATCTTTTATATTAATTTGATTTAAAAATAAATATTATCATTTTCATATCTAATAATTTTAAACTAATTAAATCATAGGTTCTATTTCTTTTTTGAATGAAAAGATATAAGGACAAAATTGTCAAATTAAACTTATTAAGCATTCAGTTATAAATATTTATCAAACAATATAAATAGATTTAGTATTAAAATTTAGACATTCATATATATCTTTTTAGTGCTTAAAATTCAACAAATTAATTGTTTCAGTATTCAGATTCAGTTTTATCAAACGGACCTTACTTATGCATACATTGCACGATATAATTTTTTTGCTATCAAAATTACACGATATAATTGATACTGATAATAATTGCCGAAGATCTAGAACCCGTCATATCTTTACTATTATGTTAGGATAATTTTGCAAAAATTTTAGGGTTTACGTACATTCAAAAGTTAGTTGGAGTTGGTAATTTAATTTATCAAACATTATAGTACGAGAATTTAACATAAAAAATTCAGAAGTATTTACCAAGTGTATGGTAAAATTTGTATTGCGGCATATTCAAAGTTAGACTTGGTCAGCAAAGTTGGACCGAATATTTCAAGAGGTTTAGTAGAACACAATTTCTCTCCAAGTCATGGATACCTTATGGATCCATTTTGACTCGTACAGCTATCTATATGTCAGATTGCGGAATTTTATTTTTGTATCTAAATTTCCTGTTTTCGGCTCAAGTAACTATCAATCTTTCTCACCATCAAGTATGAAGCTACAATAAATAAAACAAAGTCATCTCCAAGAAAGCTTGTGGCCAACTTTTGCAACTTCACCTTTTCATCAAACTGGAGGATCATTTTGGAAAAAGCAACTTTATGTGATTTTGTGCACGTTCTTGACTCTAAACTTCCACCTGGCTCATGCAACTCTAGACCTTTCTCATTAGAGGCATGTTTTACGTGGTTAATTTTTGCACGCGGCAGCTTTTGATTAATCCGTTGAACTGAAGATTTGTCTAATCACCTCCGAGTTTATTAAGAGCTGAGTGTACATCAATTGATCTTAGTTAACCGATTAAAAATTTCATAAATTGAACTTAAACCTAAGTCTTTTGACGTTAATTTAATGGTCAAGATTGAGATCTTGTAGATTAGAATTCTTGAATTCAAGTTCAAATCTCGGGATATTTGAGGTTTTTTGTAAATAAATGTTAGTATATTCCTAATATTTGTGTGCTTAGTTGTAATATTATTCGACATGTCATAATCTGTTCTTATTGTTTCCCATCATTACGGAAGCAAATTTCGACATATCTAAATGTGAACATAATATATATATATATATTAAAATTTTTGTGCAGGGGGGGCGAGAGTTTTAATTTTTATTGAATAGTTTATAAAAATTTTAAATTTTGTATGAGCAAAATCAAATTTTCTAAAACTTGTATGCAGTCTCCCTCCTCGCCCCCTCCAAATTTTTTGAACCTTAAAAGTTGCCCAATGTATTTCGAACTCCTCAGAAAAACTTAAAACATTAAGGATCGTTCAAAATGTCTTTCACATTTCACTAAATGAATTTTTTCGTCCTTCATTTTTAAAATGTTAACTTTATGTCTCATACAATTTTAAGTTGATAAAATTTGGTTCTAACCTAAGTTCTCGACCACTTTTTAGTCTAAAATCAGCACATGACCCACATGCAATAAATTTTATGTACAAAAAGATGAGATCCCATTTTTTTAGTGACAAAAATAAATATGAATTAGGTCAAATTCCACTTTTTAGGGAACAAATAAATATGATTCGAGTCAAATCTTAATTTTTAGGCGCAAAAATATATATGAATTAGATCATTTGTTTAATTATAAATGGGATCTAACTTTTTTCCCCTAAAAAAATAACAATGTATGGGTTACGTGATAGTAATTTGGTCTTGTGGAGCAATAAAAGTCCTTTCTTTTTAAAACAAAAAACAAAAAAAAAATGCATAGGTTAAGTGATGGATTTAGAATCAAAAATTTATATTGATAATAAATTTTATTAGCTTGATTTTGTAAGGATGTAAAGTTGCTATTTTAAAAGTAAATGACGAAAAAATTCATTTAATAAAATGTAATGGATATTTTGAATGATTTTTGCAAACATTAAAAGGCAAAGATGAGTAATTAGATTTGGTGCATGGGTTAACTTCAAACCTCAATACCACAGGCTTTACTAGGCATACAGGCATATCAATTTTTTTTTAGCATTACGATGTTTTCTAAAAGTAAAAGGTAAAGAGAAATGTGTCTAATCTCCACGTTAGTGTCGGTAAATGGACAAATTCCTTCTAGATAAAGGGTTCTTTTGTCTACCCTCCTCTTCCCTTTTCTTCATTTCCTATGACTCCGCCCACTTAGCCCTGAACAATTGACTGTCAGCGATTTCGTTTATTATGGTCCAAGAAAAACTAGGTGTTCATTTATTGGAATGCCATGCAGATTTAAGTAGTGGAATATAAATTTGTCACCTTTTGCCTGTCTTTCACGAAGTGTTCCACATCCTTATTAGAACTATCACTGGCTGAATCATTCATTTAACATCATTTGACATGTTAATTAAAAGCTGAGAAAGCATTCATCTAGTGGTTCAAATTGATATTTCAAAAATTAATTATTTTGAGATTAGTTTTCCCTTTCACCCTCTCCGTTTCTTAAATTTCACCCTTCCCCTACTAAAAGAAAGAAATAAATAAATAATATATCAATTAAAGAATCTTTAGTATTCTACAAATTTTACCTCAAGATTCCAGAAATTGCGCTTATATTCAGGAGGTTATACGATATTTTATTTAGTCAAAATTTAGCAAAACTATTCACAATTATTATAATGCAGTCGCACCCGACTATAAGTGAATGCATCCAAATAATTTCTAACTTGGGAAACATGAAAAGAAAGACATTTTGGTTTTGGTGTTTGTCAATTATAAAGACTTTACATCTAATAAAATACAGTAAGAGCATGTAATGTAGAAAGCATTTCATCAAAACTGAAAATTTCCTTACTTGTATATCCCTTTATATGATCGTTATTCCAATAAATCTGATGATTTTATTGCTACCATTTGTTTGGATAAAATTGAAACAGAAGTTTATTTTGAAGGATTAATCTTTCATATATATGAATCTTTTTCACACTAGTAGTGTAAATGCATGATATATAACTTAATTTAGATTTCAAATTCTTCTTTTGTACATTTGACAATATATGAAAGAAAATTCTCCTTTTGCACATTTTATGATGTGAATACATACACTTCCTATCCTTGTAAAACAATCTTCTTTAAATTTGCAGTATAAGAAAAAAGTAATTTTAATTTGGAAGTAAAGGTACCTTTTTCTCCTTGCCAATGTGGAGAACAATGAGCTCCACAAACCCTTTGGTATTCATCAACACACCAAGCGTTAACGCTTCTCTGGCAGGTGTCTTGCACAATATGGCCATCGAAAACGTTCCCAAAATCTTGCCAGAGCAAGCCGTGGCGATCATCAGAGCCAAAAGACTCCACGATTCAGCACCATGTATTTTGGCAACATCAGTCGTCAACCCACTAAGCAAAATACAAAGATAGCAACAAACCGGTAAAAAAATCCTCAATCCTTTCAATCAGCCTCTCAGCAAAATGTCCACCTTTGGGTATAGTGAATCCAAAAACAAATGCACCAAAAATTGCATGTATTCCGATAAAATCAGTTGCCAAATCAGCCACCATAACACCGCGAGGGTTAAGCATATATAGGCCTCATCGACGGTGTCATGCTCAGGCGAGTATCTCCGACCAATCCACTTCATGGCCGGCTTAATGAAAACCATCGTGAAAACAACAAAACCAGCCCCCGTGAGCAGAACCCATAAGGATATTAACGGATTTTGTGCGCCCGTCAGCTCCATCACTGGCTAGTGCTAATGCTAGAGCTAGCAAGATCCATGCACGTAGGACCCAAAACAAATAATAAATCATCAACCCACAGGAACAATCAAATAAGGAACAATATTGAGACAAAGGAAGTTTTCTATTAATTAGATGAAACTCCGGCAAAAATACAAAACAACAAAGCCACTCCTTAAAGAGGACGAACGAGAGGCTATATAGTACTAGGTATCTTGTTGGCTAACTTCTAGTACTAGTATTATGGGCCTAATCTAATGTGGCCAACTTTACCAACTCACAATGCAATTATTTAGTTAACCAATAAAGCAAAGACACGTGACCATTAATTATTGATGCTTGGTTTAATATTCCTACACTACCTTCCTTAAACCAAACACCTCTAATCTGGACATACCCAACATCTTCTTCAACATGACAAAAAAATCCGTCTTCAATGCCTTGGTGAAAATATCAGCCACTTGCTCTTCAGTTCTGCAATAATTAACTTCAATCTCCTCTCTTAAACCAACTCACGTATGAAGTGATATTTGATGTCAATATGCTTGCTACGCCCATGAAACACTAGATTCTTGGACAGCTCAATTACTAACTTACTATCACAATAAATCTTCGTAGAATCAACCTGCTTGTATTGTCGAACACCAAGTATGCGGCGTAACCACAAAGCTTGAGTAGCGCTGTTAGCTACTGCAATATATTCCGCTTCCGTTGTACACAATGAAATCACCTGTCGCTTCTTCAAACTCCAGGCAAACACGCCAGAACCAATAAAAAATGCATTACTTGAAGTACTCTTCCTCTATACTGCATCACCTGCCCAATCACTATCTGTGTATCTAACAATTCAACCGGATCATATTTTGAATAAAAAATGCCATCACTGCGAGTACCTCCAATGTACCTCAAAATCCTCTTGGCTGCCTACAAGTGTGACTGACATGGATTTTCCATGAACCTGCTAATCAAACCAATAGTAAAATTGATATATGGCCTTGCAGATGTCAAATATCTCAAACTCCCTATCAAACTTTTAAAGTATGTGGGATTCACATATCCACCACCGCCTTCCTTGGTTAATCTCAATTTTCTTCAACTGGTGTCATAATTGGTTTTGCTGTATCCATCTTGAATTTTTTTTTTAAAATGTCACCTTCATATTTCTTTTGAGATATAAAAATTACATTGTCATACTGAAAGACTTCAATTCCCAAAAAATGTGACATGAGTCCCATATTTGTCATCCCAAACTGCTTAATCTTAGCTTCCCTGAACTCTGCAACCATCTCTGAATTATTTCCTGTAAAAATTAAATCATCTACGTACAAGCACACAATAAGAATATCACCACGAGCAGAAAATTTAATTTATAAAGTGTGCTCATATGGACACCTCTGAAAACCATGAGTCAAAAAATAGGAATCAATTCTTGTATACCACGCTTTTAGGGCTTGTTTCAATCCATATAAGGCTCTCTTCAATTTATACACCTTATTTTTCTTACCTCTTTTGACAAATCCTGCTGGCTACTCCACATACACTTCTTCATTAAGAACTCCATTCAGGAAAGCTGACTTGACATCCATTTAATAAACTCTCCAGTTATTTTGAGCAGCTAGAGAAATTATCATACGGACTGTGTCAAGTTTGGCAACTGGTGCAAACACTTCAAAATAGTCAATCCTGGGTTTCTGCTTATATCCCTTCACCACTAGTCTTACCTTCAATCTATCTACTTCTCCATTGGGTTTAAATTTTGTCTTGTACACCCACTTCACTCCAATGGCTTTTTTACCAATTGGAAGAGAAGTGAGTTCCCAGGTGTCATTCTTCTCTATTGCATGAATTTCTTCCTCCATTGTTTTCACCTAATGATCATCATTGGCTGCTTCCTCATATACAACTGGATCACAATCTACAAACAAAGCAAAATTAACAATATCTTCGTTAGAAAGAATATCATCTGGTGTAATCACATAATCTTGCAGACAAGCTGGCATCTGTCGCTGACGCTGGGGACGTCCAATTAACTCAGTTTGTGGACCCTGAACAGCTGCTGATGGCTGAATATCATAATTATCCTCCTCTTGCTGATAATTAGAGTCACCTCTACTGTCTAAAGATCTCTAGTAGACCAATCCCAAAGACCTCTTTCGTCAAAAGTCACATCTCTATTCACTATCACCTTTTTTGTCATAGGATTATACAACCTGTAAGCCCGAGATACTTCACTATAATCAATAAATACATACTTCTTCCTCTTATTATCAAGTTTTTTTCTTAATTGATCAGGAATATGGGAATAGGTAATACACCCAAAAACTTTGAGATGACCAACAAAAGGTCTTCTACCACTCCAAACTTCTTCAAGAGTTTTTCCGGGAATACTTCTGGTAGGACACATGTTTAACAGATAAATTGCACAAGAAACTGCCTCTGCCCAAAAAGATTTTGGCATATTTTTCACCTTCAATATACACCTCACCATATCCATAACTGTCCTATTCTTTCTCTCTGCGCGCCACTCTATTTTGTTGGAGAGTGTACCTAATAGTCAATTGATACTCTTACCCATTTTTCTCAAGAAAATCATCACACACTAAATATTCCTGACCCCTATTTGTTCTCAAAATTTCAATCTGACACCCACTTTACCTCTCAACAAAAGTTTTAAAAATTTTAAAAGTGTCGCAGGCATCAGATTTTTGTTTCAAAAAATACACCCAAGCTTTTCTACTAAAATCATCAATAAAGGTAATAAAATACCTGCAACCACCATTAGAAGGAACATCCACAGTGCATAAATCTGAATGAATAATTTCTAATGGTTTTCTGGCCCTCTATGATGTGCTAGTCTGAAAAGTATCCCTATGTTGTTTTCCCAAAATACACATATCACAGACTCTACCGGGATTTCCAATATTAGGCAATCCACTAACCATTCTTTTATTGGCCAAAAATTTCAAACTATCAAAATTCAAATGACCAAATTGCATATGTCACAACCAATTACTATCATCTATCACTGTACTCAAACAAGAAAAATTGGCACTACTCAAATTCGGTGGAAATAAGCGATTTGAAGTCATTGGTACACAAGCAATCATTCCAATATTTTTATCAAAAATAGTACAAATCTCATTCCTGATATGAATATCATATTTTTTCTCAGACAACTGGCTCATACTTAACAAATTTTGATGCAACCTAGGAACATAGAAAACATTAGAAATAAAATCAGTAGATCCATTTTTCAGGCTAATAGGAATTTTTCCCTTGCCAATCACTGGTAAAATAGTGTTATTTCCAAATTTAACTTCACCACGGACACATTCATCAAACTCAACAAATAATTCTTTCTTGCCAGATATATGGTTACTACAACCCATATCCAAGTACCATTTATTTTTATCAACTACATTAACAACATTACAGGCTAAGAATAAAGTTCAGATTTTTTATTATTATCCTGCACCTGATTGTTAACAACATTAGCCTGAAAATTTTTGTCTACATTTACTCCAAATCTACATTCAAATTGTCTATGGCCCAAATTTCCACAATTATAACATTGAACTCTCTGTCCAAAATTATTCTGATTAAAATTATTTCCTTTGCCAAAATTACCATTTCTGTCTTTACCAAGACCACCTCTAAAATTAAACTTATTACCTCTACTGCGTCCAGAATTTGATGTACCTTCTCGCTCTCTATTATTGTTGCCACGACCACTTCTGTTATTGTAACCACTTTTGCTCCTCTGACTGGATTCGCCTTGTTCCCTGATATCATTATTGCTTCTCAAATTCAACTGTACCTGCAATGCCTTCTCTACTGTATCCTCCAATTTTTCATTAATTCTTTGCTCATGCAGAATTAATGACCCATGCAAATCTTCAATATTCAAATCCTCCAAATCTTTCGTTTCCTAGATTACAGCTACTACATGATCAAATTTTATGGGTAGGGTATTGAGAACTTTCTCAACAAATGTTCTGTCAGGAAGATTATACTGATTGATTTTCATCTCGTTTTTAATATCTGACAAACGAGAAAAATATGACTCAATAGATTCCGACTTTTCCATCGTCACAAGTTCAAATTTCCTCTTCAACATCATCAAATTATTTTGTTGGACCGTGTCAATTCCTTTGTATGTTTTCTCCAATATATCCCAAACTTCCTTTGCCATATCAGCCATAGCAATTTTTTCAAAAACTAACATGTCAATTGCCTGATGAATTTGTGACAAAGTCAAGCTTTCTTTTGCCTTATCATCCTCGCTAGCATCCTGAGTAAGTGCAGATTCAATATATCGATGTAATTTACATGCCTTGAGATGTGTTATCATTTGTTTCTGCCAAAAATTGAACTCCGCCTTTGTTTTGAGTTTTTGGATAGAACAAATAATATTGGATTTAGGGTTTGCCATACTTCAATCTACTATAGCTCTAATACCACTTTATAGGATCCAAAATAAATAATAAATTATCAACCCACAGGAACAATCAAATAAAGAACAATATTGAGGCAAATGAAGTTTTCTATTAATCAGACGAAACTCAGACAAAAATACAAAACAACAAAGCCACTCCTTAAAGAGGACGAACGAGAGGCTATATAGTACTAGGTACCGTGTTGGCTAACTTCTAGTACTAGTAATATGGGCATAATCTAATGTGGCCAACTTTACCAACTCACAATGCAACTATCTAATTAACCAATAAAACAAAGACATGTGACCATTAATTATTGATGCTTGGTTTAATATTCCTACAATGCAGCTATGTTGTTGAACGCGGCCGCAGCCATAGCGGTCTCTCTGACACGAGTGGTGATGAGTTTAAGCTCGGCCAGGATGCGAGCAAGGACTGGGAAGGCGGTGATGGAGAGTGCGACGCCCATGAAAACCAGGTATTGTGCGTAGCCGACTTTGTCGGCCCCATCTATGGCTTTGCGGAAGATGACAGCCGCGCTGATGCCGAGGACGAAGGGCAGGGGAACTCCGGCAGCGGCTATGCTTAATGCGCTTTTTCCACCTCTGCGTATTGAAGAGAGATCAAGTTCCAGGCCAACCAAGAAGAGAAAGAAGAGGAGACCAATGCTTGCTACGGATTCTAGCATTGGAGTGCTCCATTTTGGGAATATTCGGTGCATGTAAATGTTGGTTTCGTCCCAAAGCTGAAGGTGCAAGAACAATTCCACCCTAGTCAAGGAATCAAACATGATGTTTTTGTCATTTGTCCTCATTCTTGTTTTTTTGGTGATTGAGGTAACCTTTACTATGGACTTGTTTTATTTTGGGGCAAATTTTGCAAAAACTGATTATGAAGAGTTATTGCAGAGAATAACCACAATCCATCAAGTTGCTCATAGTATTTTGGATTTTAACTATTTTGGTTATCACAAAAGCTAAATATTTTACATTAAAAACAAATGAAATATCAAAAAAATTGATAATACAAAATTAGAATCTAGAATCAGATAAAATAATCGATTTGTATAACTAGTACTCTGTTACTCCAACTCTCCAAAGAGATTTTTTTTCCCCGTTGGAGAATAGTCAAGAACAGTTAGTCTTTCAATAAAATGGTAATGCTCAACTAAATTGAAATTCTCATGCTCTTTGTAGCAATTCATTATCATAATTATGCTTCTCCTTATGTTATCTATGTTACCTTTACCTACTTCAAACTCAAATGTTCAACAAAATGAAATAAAATAAAATGAGTTTAGTCTTTCTGTAGAATTGATTAATGTTCTATTGTTTCTTCTAAAGAATAATTTGAAGGTTGCTGGCTAGGTAAAAGGAGTCAGAGAAAAATACTAGTATCTCGGCAACGACTTTCGGTTGGAGGAGGGGTTTCAAAAGGAAAGCAAAGAGGCGACTGACCACTAAAATTAGTGTTGTTTGGACTATCAGCAAGGGGAATGCAAAATCCAAGGAATTGTCACCTTCCCAAGCACCATTTGAGGAGGTCTTGATGGAGGTTATATTGACGGGCATCTTTGATGATGACAAGAAGAAACTATGTTCTACGCACTCAACAAAATATAAGGAACCTCAAACTCAATGCAAAAAGAGAGATGAACTTCTTGTCCTTGAATGGAAAAGGTCCAAATGGCTAGTATATATAGTGTCAAGTAATCTTGAAGTTTCAATCTTTATAAGATTGTTAGATCTGCATAATGAAATGACCAGACACGTACACTAACAACAAAAGGGAAAATCAAACTTCTATAGTTTAGAAGACATCGATCACAAAATGTCCATTTTTAAGTGTACATCATTTAAGCATGGATTTTTTATCGGGTGCCTACTCATTAATATACTTAAAGTAGATTTAAATTGTGACATGAATACACCCATTCACATTTACTATTCTTATATTAGATATTTTTTAAAAATTAACTGCACTCTTTAGAAAAATAAATACTCCTAATAATTAGACATTTGTTAGCCAAATCCTTTTAATCATAATCTTTATTTTATAGACTAGTGGATTTTCCCCGTCTAATATTAGCTCTTTTGACACATTTGTATGAAAACGCATGCAAGGCATTCATGGATTTTTGGCTATCGCATGGTTTGCAAAAAGCCAAAAACTAAAGGTCTACATGCGACCACGTGTCCTAAAAATGTAAATCTGTATAAAAAGGAGCATTCATCTTGGTGCCTAATATATGATGGGATTGAACTTTTTCACCACTACCCTCTTCGAAACTATTTTGTCATTGTTTAATTCGTGTAATTTGTACACATCCAAGTATTAATGATTGCGCCAATTAGCATTGATGCTTTTTGGCAAATTGAAAGTGCGGCAAAACATATAAAGCGAAAACAAATTGATGACGGGGATAATACCATCCTACAAAAACATTGTCAAATCAAGTAAATCTAACTATAGTGCTTTTGGCTTCTGTTTGTTGGAAAGAAAAACCAAACTAAATTACTCCATGTTGTGAGGAGTTCAGTTTGGTAAGGATTCATTTGAGTTTTTCATTCATCAATTAATCAAGCGAAATATAAAGAACACCTTGTGTTTAATAGAGCTTTAAAATTAACTTTGGTTTAGCTTGATTGGTATAAAATGTTGGATCCTTAATCTAACGTTGGAATTATGTGTGAATAATTATGTGTTGCAGACTATCAAATAAAGTTAAATCCAATTAAGGTGATCAATTATGATTTGGGTTTTAATATATCTAATAGGATGTGGGCCTTTAATGTGTAGAAAATTAAAGGTAATTTCTATTTCTATGATGGGTTGAAATAGGAATCCAAAAAGGTGATAGGAATATTATCGATAAATAGTGTTATAGTCCCCAGATCACACGTATTCTTATTGTCGTATTTTCTAGTACCACAAAATAATTCTTTCCTGATATCCGATTGTCAGGAAAGATACCAGAGAGAAATTAAAGAGTTGTCTCAAGGGAATAGCAAATATGTGTTGACCTGGAAGGCCACCCCAAAATCTTTAGAGATTTAAGTACTGGTTTATCAACATGAATTCAGGTACATTTTTGCAATTTTGCTGTTAATTTATTTCTTAATAATTGACATAAAAATCTAGAATTTAATAGGTGATGATTTTTACCAAAAGCTAAGATAAACTATGATAGGTTGTCGATGCCTGTGCAATAATAATAATGAAAATCTTAGTTGCCAACAAAAGCAGTTTCGAGTCAATTCTAGTATTGGAGTAGGGACTCCGGATGTGCAATGGGTTACTAGATTCACCCTGACTCTGAAGAGTTTGGTTAATCCGATATACCAGAATCTATTCACGAAAACTTGTTAATTTAATTTGTATCCTCAGGGGCTGGAGATATTTGTCTCTTTGAAGTTCAAATTGACAATGGGGGATTTTAAGGAAATTAACAATAAGCTATACTAATCAAATATTGCAATCAAATAAAAAGTAAATAGAAATTAAATGGCAATAAAGTAAAACCTCAAATAGTATTGAACAGCGCTAGTCAAGAAGCAACTTCGGAAAAGGTTCTTCTAATTGATCATCGATGCAAGAATAATTCCACATATAAACTGATAAATAAGTTATAATTGTCAAACAAACGATGGCATCAATTTCTCCGTAATTATCGATAGCTAAGGTACGACCGTTTGCTACTGCCCTAATCTCAAAATAATCCTAGGTACGACCGTAGAATTAAATTTCACAATTGCTTTAAGATTCAAAGAAACCCTGTTCTAACCAAACAACACGCTACGAGGGTTGTTTACAAATTAACCTGTATATTTTTCTGACATAACCCCGATTATACCAGTTGCCACTAATATAGAACAATCAAACAATTACAGATTTAATTATTTTAATTGGCTCTAGGTTATTGAATTAATCTAACATCCGGGTCCGGGTCAATTGAATAATACAACAACCATAAGAAAATAAAGCAGAAAATATACGAATACCAGAAAATAATAGGAAAACTAAAATCAGTTAAATCTCACAATTTATGTCGAACCAATTCCTCCGTTGTTCCTTGACTACAAGTATAGACTTAGTTCATCTCCATTGAGAAAAACCCACGCACAATTGTAGAAGTAATTGTTGCATACATTGCCTCCAAAATTGCGATGAAAAAGCCGATGGAATTAGGAATAATGTCTAAAGCTACAAAGTCCAGAGATGACTAATTGTCCCCCCTTGGTTCTTGACATACCAAGGAAAAATAAAAAGACACCAAAAGATGAGAAAGTCAATTGCCAAAAAGGAGTCAAAATTGATGGCTACTTTTTCTCTCTAATTCCTACTACTATTGATAGCATCATGGTGCATGGGTACGCTAACGGTGGCTTGGGTGATCGAGGGGCTGAGGATCGCGTGCACGCTTCAAGCGGACCCATCACTAGAGCTCGCGCAAGGAGACTTCGTGAGCAACTCAATGTACTTGTTCAGGCCATACATAAGTCCTTTGAGGGATTCACACACTCTAGTGAAGGTGATCGAGGTCCTATATTGAGCATTGAAGCTATACCCGAGGATTAGGATTCTTTTGCCAAACCCTAGTTTCCAATTTTAGTAGTTTCAGTTATTTACGTATTAGCTTGATTTGTTTGAATAATTGGTTAAGTGCATATTGCACATAGAATCGCCAAGGGTAGAATTGACATTTTGTTAGTCATTATATGTTGGTTAAGGTCGGCTGCCTAGGAAGGAAAGTCCGCGCGAAGCCTTATCCGTTGAGGGGTGAGGTTGTAGCTTCCTTTTGTGTTTTCCTTCGCTTGTTAGGGCTCCATACCAGCTGCACCATAGCCCTCTTTTGCTTATTAGATTAGGTTGTTACTTGTAGCCTATATAAGGAATCATATTACATTAATGAAGGGGTTAGACTTTTTATCCAAAAAATTGGTGTGAGAACTTTCTCCATAGCTTTCGAGCAACCCTTGAACAACTTAGAGTTATACTCTAGTGTTCTTGTTTGGCTTATCAACTCAAGAATCACACTTGAATTGTGGCGCCTTCTACACTTGCCTGAGGTTCGCTAATTCGTTTCATTACGGGTTGAGATAGTATGAATAAGTTCGTAATCACGGGGATTAGAGGGATCGTAGGATTTCTGCTGCTGCCTTGTTTTTTGTTCGATCACAAATCCGACAAACGATCTTGGGTCACGAATCTTCTTCACCAACGAGATTCGTATCAACTATACGGTTACTCCCCAAAAAGAAAGGGAAGAGACCCTTAGTCTCTTCTGACTTCTCCTCTTTGGAAACCGCCAACAAGAAGAAAAGTGGTCCAGTCTTCCAAAATTGCCCCTGGCTGCCGCATATTCTCCACTAGACAAGGAAACAGAATCGAATCTGTCTCTACCTTGTCGACCGCTACTCAAACTCTTTTGTTGGCTACCGTCAAATTGGCACCTTTTTATGGTATTTTGTTCTACTCCCTGCAATAACCACAAATTTTCAAAAGTGAGTAGAAACTGACAATTAATCCACATTTGGTAAGGTAATAGGGAAAATTAATTATAAAATAAACAACAAAATTGCGACCTATCAATTCCTCTCACACCTAGACCATGCTTGTCCTCAAGCACGAGAGCAACAAACAGACACCAATTTCTGATAATGGCTATTGCTCCATCTATTTTATTACCGAGATACCAAGAAAAACACCTATCAAGCATCAATGGTTAAGATCCAAGAAACATCACCTCGGTTAGCTTCTAAACCGTGGACTCCTCCAATTTAAGGCAAACTATTCTAAGAAAAAGGAATGCTCGCTCAACATTTATCAGCAAATGGTCCAACTATTAACTAAAATCTCAACACTAAATCCATAAATCAGCAAGCTGACTTTAATCACGTATTGACACAACCTTCACACCTTTTTATCACGCTTTTCTATTTTTCTCTTTTTTTCGTTTCAATAGTAATGATAGACTTAGTCTCTAGCTATTAGAGCCTTTTGACGCGAACTCCAACATTTGTCAGATGAAGGAGTCCGGTTACTCAGCTCTTATCGCTATACGACCACGTACTTATAGAAATTACTACTTTTTGATGCGAGAATCGACACTTGTGGTAAAGATCCCCGGTTACTCAGCAATAATAACTGGCGGAGTACAACCAACTTTTATTCACAACCAGGCAACAAAGTAACTCAAAATGTCACATAAAATAACAACAGCTAGCCTCAATTCATCAAACATGGAGAACTAAAGTTAATAATTGGATCAACTCACATCAAAATGCCAAACAGTTATTCCCTACGCCTAGAAAAGGTAACCAGAAATTATAGGGGTCACAAAATCATCGATATTCACCAAAGAGACATTCCGGACTTGACCGAATCAACGTGATACAATTTTATTACTAAAACTTGACAACAGTAGAATTGGAATCAACAACCAACATCAAACCTTGGCAGCCATAGGAGAGTTGATCACTAATAAAAGTCAAAAGAAACTAAATGAAAAAATAGAAAAATAAAGGAAAAACATCTAAAAACTAAAAACTAGAAATACTAGTACCACAGC